CGTGGTCGTCGTCGTCGTCGTCGTCGTCATCGTGTCGTCGTCGTCGTCGTCGACGCGGTCGTCGCCGTCGTCGCCGTCGTACTCGTCGTCGACGTCGTAGTCGTCGACGTCGTCGTCGTCGTCGTCGTCGTACTCGTCGTCGACGTCGTAGTCGTCGTCGCCGTCGTCGACATCGTCGCCGCCGCCGCCGCTGGTCGCCGCGTTCGCCATCGTCTTCGTCGTCGTCGTCGTCGTCGTCTTCGTCGTCGTCGTCGTCGTCGTCGTGGTCGTGGTCGTCGTCGTCGTCGTCCAGGATGGATCCCAAATAGATATTAACCTGGGTTTATAATGTTCCGGGATTATTGACCAGGGTTCATAATGTCTCCCCCGGAACATTATGAACCTGGGTTTTAATGTTCCGGAAATATTGATTGGGGTTCATAATGTTCCCCCCGGAACATTATAAACCCTGGTTTATAATGTTCTGGGCCTACCGATCCCAAGAAGATGTTAACCTGGGTTTAGAGTGTTCTGGGAATAATGACCAGGGTTCATAATGTGCCAGGAATAATGAACCCGGTTTGTGTAATTCGGGAATGATAATAATTTGTTTATTTTCCCCCCAACGCCCGTGTGCCGCACCAGGTTTTTCATGTTGGAATATTGACCCAGGTTCAGGTTCATTATCTGCAGGAGATAATAAACCTGGGTTCGTAATGTTTCCGGAAAATTGACCCCGGGTTAATTATTCTGGAATGATAATGATTCAGCCGGGGGGGGTGTTGGAGAGTAATAACCGGATTGAAATAAACCGTGGTCCATAATGTTGGAATAATGATCTTCGGTTGATTATTCCGGAAAGATAATGATTCAGCCGGGGGGGGGCTCAGCTTGATCCATCCACAGGACAATAAACCACAGGGTATCATCTGAAGATAATGAACCTAGGTTTATCATTCCTTGATAATGAACCACGGTCGACGAGGATTTCGCACCTACCCTCTCGTCGTCGTCGACGCTGTCTTCGTCGTCGTCGTCGTCGTCGTCGTCGTCGCCGTCGTCGTTGTCGTCGTCGTCGTCGTCGTGGTCGTTATCGTCGTCGTCGTCGTCGTCGCCGTCGTCGTCGTCGTCGCCATCGTCGTCGTCGTCGTCGCCGCTGCTGCCGCCGCCGCCATTTTCTTCGTCGTTGTCGTCGTCGTCGTCGTGGTCGTCGTCGTCGTCGTCGTCGTCGCCGCCATCGTCGTGGTCGTCGGCGTTGTCGTCGTCGTCGCCGCTGCTGCCGCCGCCGCCGTCGCCGCCGCTGCCGCCGCGTTTGCCGCCGCCGCAGCCGCCGCCATTTTCTTTGTCGTTGCCGTCGTCGTCGTCGTTGTGGTCGTTGTCGTCGTCGCCGTCGTCGTGGTTGTCGGCGTCGTCGTCGTCGTCGTCGCCGCTGCTGCCGCCGCCGCCGCCGCCGTCGCCGCCGCCGCCGTCGCCATCGTCTCCGTAGTTGTCGTCGTCGTGGTCGTGGTCGTCGTCGTCGTCGTCGTCGTCGTTGTCGTCGTCGTCGTCGTCGTCGTCGACGCTGTCTTGGTCGTCGGCGTCGTCGTCGCCGTCGCCGCCGCTGCTGCCGCCGCTGCCGCCGCGCCGCCATTGTCTTCGTCGTTGTCGTCGTCGTCGTCGTCGTCGTCGTCGTCGCTGCTTGTGCCGCTGCCGCCGCCGCCGGTCGCCGCCGCTGCTTGCCAGACGCTGAAGCGCGACTTCACCCGCTACTCGGCCAGCGCCGACGAGGAGCCGCCACGCCGGGGCGCCGGGCGCCCCCCCCGAGGGCTCAGCACTGGCAGGCCCGTGTGCGTCGTGCTGGCGCGGCTGCGGCGCCAGCTCGGGCGTTCGGAGTTGAGCGCCGCGGGTGGTCCCGAGTCTCAGTATCGTTTCCCCGACCCCCATCCCCATCCCCATTCCCTTCGAGGCCCCCACCAACAAGAAAACAAACCAGTTGGGGGTACACCCCTCGAAGCCCGAAGGGAACGGCCTACATCCCCATCCTGGGGGGGTAAATCGGCCAGTGGGACCCAGGCCACGCCGCTGGGGATAGGGATCGGATCAACGATACTCAGAGTCGGCCAACATGGAACGGGCTGGTGATCGAAAAGCTGCCGATCCATTCGGCAGCAAGTCATGGGAGCCTGGCGTACTCTGTCAATTCCGTCTTTAGCGTCGATTAGCGTTGATTAGCGTCTGGGAGTCGATGAGAACGTGCCGATTTAGCGTCGGCTAGCGGCGATTAGCGTCGATGTAGCGTCGATGAGCGTCGATCTGGCGTCGATTAGCCCAAGATGGTATGGGAGGCTCCCCTGAGTTGCCACCGAATGATCGAAGAGCTGCCGATCCACGCGGTGTCAGCAGCCAGCACGCGACGCGAATCTGCCGAAGACCCGTACCCATCCCCAGTGGGCCAGGGCTCGTGGACGCCGCCCGCCTGGTGTTAAGTCGGGCCTGTCCCTCTACAGGAGGAATATTCAAAAATAGTACAAAAAATAGTCAGGGGACGATTTTTTGACAATTTTTGAATATTTCGGGGTATTTTTTGACTACATTTCATTTTTCCTCCAAAACCCCCCTGTAGGCCAGAAACACCCCTGCTGAGAACCACCCCCTCCCCTCCCTTCGTAGAAGCGCCCCTGCTTATGAGAAGCCTTCCCCCCTCCTTCTATCGGCTACCCTGCTGAGAAGCACCCCCTCCCCCTCCCTTCGTAGAAGCACCCCTGCTTTTGAGAAGGCTTCCCCCCTCCCCATATTCGGCTAGACGGCACTCCTGCCGAGAAGCACCCCCTCCCCCTCCCTTCGCAGAAGCGCCCCTGCTTCTGCGAAGCCTTCCCCCCTCCCCCTAGCCCCTGAGTGCGCGCCGCCGTCTGAAGTCGCGCGGGCCACAGGCCACTCTCCTGCCCGGGGTCGCTCTGCCGCCCTCCTTCCCTCGCGGCGGGGCGCGACGGGAGGCCCTGGCAAGCCGCCCCGCTCTCCTCCTCCTGGCCGCGCTTGGGGGGCCACATGCGAACCCTACCCCTGCCCCCCACGATTTCTGAGGGGGAGGGTGGGGTTCACTTCGCTCGGGAGGGATCCGGAACTAGTCATGAGGACAAGTTGCTAAAGTGACATTGGGGGAGCTCGGGAGCTTCCGAGCGAAGTGAACCCCACCCTCCCCCCTGAGAAATCGTGGGGGGCAGGGGTAGGGTTCGCGTGTGGCCCCCTAGCGCTGCCCCGGTACCGCGGTCTCCAGGCAGGCCTTGACCGGAGGGTCTGTTTGTCTTTCTCTCCCATTCCGCGGGGAGGCGGGGGACGCCCCGATGCGAGCCTCAACTCGCCCGGGCGTGCGCACAAAGCAGGAGCAGCAGGAGGAGGAGGAGGAGGAGGAGGAGGAGGAGGAGGAGGAGGAGATGGAGGCGGGGAGAGGAGGAGGAGAGGCGGAGGGGAGTGAGGAGGAGAGGAGGAGGAGGAGGAGGAGAGGAGGAGGAGGAGGAGACGGAAGGAGAAATAGGAGAGGAGGAGGAGGAGGAGGAGGAGGAGGAGGAGTGAGGAGGAGGAGGAGGAGGAGGAGGGAGGAGGAGGAGGAAGGAGGGAGGAGGAGGAGGAAGGAGGAGGAGAAGAGGAGGAGGAGGAGGAGAGGACAGGCAGGCCTTAACAGGAGAGCCTTCCTCCGTCCTTCCATTCTCCGCTCAGGTCTCCTCCCTCTAGCTACGCTGCCCTGCACCGCGGCCTCCAGGCACGGCCCCCGCAGGAGGTCGCCCTCGGCTCCTGGAGGTCGCCGGGTCGAGCTGGCTGGAGATCTCGCCGACTGCTGCTGCCTGCTGGCCGGCCTTTGCCCTCTCCTTCTTTAGCCGAGGACGAGGAGGAGGAGGAGGAGGCGGAGGATGAGGAGGAGGAGGAGGGGGAGGGAGAGGGCGGAAGAGGGGGAAGAGGGGGAGGAGGGGTCGAGGGCGGGAGTGACAATCCCGACGGGAGCGCCACAAGCTGTTTAGGTCATCCCCGCCCATCATCATCATCATCATCATCATCATCATCATCATCATCATCATCATCATCATCATCATCATCATCATCATCATCATCATCATCATCATCAGCAGCAGCAGCATCATCATCATCCATTCGGCCGTCATCATCCCATCAGCGTCAGCGTCATCCCATCATCATCATCATCATCATCATCATCATCATCATCATCATCATCATCATCATCATCATCATCATCATCATCATCATCATCATCATCATCATCATTATCATTATCATCATCATCAGCATCAGCATCAGCATCAGCATCAGCATCATCATCAGCATCATCATCATCAGCATCATCATCATCAGCATCATCATCATCATCATAAGCATCATCATCATCAGCATCATCATCATCATCATCATTATCGCAATCGTCATCGTCATCGTCATCATCATCATCATCATCGTCATCATGATCATCATCACCATCATCACATAGGCATCATCATGATCATAATCATCATCATCATCATCATCATCATCATCACCATCGTCATACTCATAATCGTACTCATCAGCATCATTATCATCATCAGCTTCATCATCATCATTATCATCATCGTCATAATCGTTATCATCATCATCATCACCATCATCATCATCATCACATCATCATCATCATCATCATTCTCATCACCATCGTCGTTCTTGTCATCATCACCAGCAGCATCAGCATCGTCATCGTCCTCTCTCTCACTCTCTCTCTCTCTCACTCTCTCTTTCTCTTCCTCTCTCTTCTTTGTCTCCTTCCCTTACAAAGCGCTCAAACTGCCCAGGCCTTCATTCGGTCCCCCGCCCCTCCATTTCCTCTTCTTCCTTTTTTAGGCAAGCCGCAAGCGCTCCCAGGCATGAGGCTTCAGGTCCTCCTCCTCCTCCTCCTCCTCCTCCTCCCCCTCCTCCTCCTCCTCCTCCCCTCCTGAATCGCTCCTCCTGCGTCCTCTCCTACTTCCTCCTCCTCCTTCCGCCTCCTCCTCTCCTCCCCCCCCTCCTCCTCACACCACTCCCCCTCCCCCCTCCACCCTCCTCCTCCCCTTCCTCCTCCTGCATCATCCTACCTCCTCCTCCTCCTCCTCATCCTACTCCTCCTCCTCCTACTCCTCCTCGTCGTCCTCTTCCTGGAGGTCTGCAGGAGGCCTCCACGGTCTCAGAAGGCCCTCAGAGGCGCGCAGCTCCTGGCCCCAGTGGCGGCAGCCCTCACCGCCTCTCCCGTCGCCCCGTGGCCCCCTGGCACCTCGCGCCCCGAGGCAGACCAGCCACAACTGTGGGAGCCGTGGTCCTTACCTCAAGTCGGGCCTGTCCCTCTACAGGGGGATTTGCAACGAAAAATAATAAATACCCCAACAATACCTCAAAAAGATTAAACAAATAATCAAAAATATTGTTTTTTGATTATTTTCGGGGTATTTGTTTTGTCGAAAATCCCCCTCTAGGGGGACAGGCCCGACTTAACTCTAGGCCTCCTGGTGGGGTCGACGGATCGCTCGGCATCGCCGATGCATCGACGATGCGTCGCGATGTCGAGCCATACTTTCCTGCACCGGTGGCGCCGATGGCGCCGATGCATCGCCGACGTTGCTGGTGCATCACCGATGTATCGCCGATGTATCGCTGATGCATGGCCGATGCATGGGCGATGCGGCGCGATCCTCCGACCCTATCTACTCGGACCACCTGGTGGCCTATCTCAGAGGAGGAAGAGTACCGCTATCTTAATATCGCGTTCGCCTTTTTGGGCTTCCTGAGAGGCCCTCGTTGCCACCTGCTGGGCTCGCCGCAAAATGCTGGTTAGAGCGCACCCCTGGAGAGCTCCTGGGAGCAGCGGTGTCGCTATCAGTTGGTTTCCCCCCCGTCGGGTTCGACATCCCCTTCGAGAGATCGTCGACACTATGAGGCCCCCCCCCGGGGGAAAGAGGGGCACTGCTCCCCCAGCTGTGGACTGCCCGCGAGGAGCTGGAGAGCATGGACGCGGGAGGCGCCGCCCAGCCGCGTCGCCGCTGCCGGCGCCGCCGCCGTCGTCGCCGGCGCCGTCGCCGTCGTCGCCGGCGTCACGGTCGCCGGCGTTGGCATTATCGTGGTGGAGTGGTGGTGTGGTGGCGGTGGTGGTCGTGGTTGTCGTGATCGGGCTCGTGGTCGGGTTCGTGGTCGCGGTCGTGGTCGTGGTCGTCGTCGTCGCCGCCGCCGCCGTCGTCGTCGTCGTCGTCGTCGTCGTCGTCGTCGTCGTCGACGCCGCCGTTTTCGTCGTCGCCGCCGCCGTCGTCGTCGTCGCCGTCGTCGTCGTCGTCGTCGTCGTCGTCGCCGTCGTCGTCGTCGTCGTCGTCGTCGTCGTCGTCGTGGTCGTCGTCGTCGTCCTCGTGGTCGTCGTCGTCGTCGTCGTCGTCGTCGTCGTCGTCGTCTTTGCCTTTGTGGTCGTGGTCGTGGTCGTGGTCGTCGTCGTTTTTCGGCGCCCGCGGCGGGGTCGCGTCCGCGATCCTGGCCCCCAGGCGACGAGAGCGGCTGGAAGCAGGCCCCACCGCCGCCCATCTGCCGCCGATGGCAGGGTTCGGAGGAGGATGAGGAGGAAGGGGACTGGAGTAAACCAAAGATGCATCAGCGTTGCTGCAATGCACCCTCCCCGTCCCAAGTCCCTACTTCATACGTTCCTATCTGCAAGGTCTTATTTTCATCATGGCAAGAAACGCCCCCCCCCTTGAAAGACCAGCACATTTTGGCCCTCCATTGGGCGAGGGCCCCGCTTTGAAGAGGAAGAGCTCTGCACAGTCATTGAGCGCGAGAAGCACAGGATCATACAGTTCAACGACGTGCCCATGGAGATCCCCCTGCTGAAGAAGGACCGCTCTCAATTCGTTGAGCTGTTGCACAATCTGGCGCTGGTGATCATGCGCCTCGAGGACTTTGGAAAAGGGCCGCCCTGGATCCGTGCAGCGCTCTATGCAGGAGGGAAACAAACACACAGGCACAATTGATCGTCGATTCCTCAGAGAATATGGGAACATGTGGGGATGGGGGGGAAGACACAAATCCAGAAAGTATGGAAAAATATGGGGAATCCTTTTACTCCCAACCCTCCTTGGTTGGGTATTCGTTTTGAATAGAGCAGTGTTGTCTCCACTCCCTTCTTCCCGTCCCGCCTCCCTCTTGCCTCCTCCTGTCTTGCCTGCGGGAGGCTGCGATCTGTGAAACTGTCGCCACTTTCGAGGCCTGCTGGGGGGCCCAGCACAGTGACGCCATGGGCAGATTCAAATTAGACCTCGCCATCCCTGGGGGGCTGCGATCTGTGAAACTGTCGCCACTTTCGAGGCCTGCTGGGGGGCCCAGCACAGTGACGCCACGGGCAGATTCAAATTAGACCTCGCCATCCCTGGGGGGCTGCGATCTGTTGAAAACTGTCGCCACTTTCGAGGACTGCTGGGGGTGGGTCCCGCACAGTGACGGACACGGCAGATCAAATTAGACCTCGCCATCCCTGGGGGTGGCTTGCGATCTGTGAAAAACTGTCGCACTTTCCCGAGGCAAGCTGGGGGGCCCACGCAGTGACGCCACGGGCCAGATCAAATTAGACCTCGGCCATCCCTGGGAGGGGGGCTGCGATCTGTGAAACTGTCGCCACTTTCGAGCCCTGCTGGGGGGCCCAGCACAGTGACGCCACGCGCGGACCCAAATTAGACCTCGCCATCCCTGGGGGGCTGCGATCTGTGAAACTGTCGGCACTTTCGAGGCCTGCTGGGGCGCCCGGCACAGTGACGCCACGGGCAGATTCAAATTAGACCTCGCCATCCCTGGGGGGCTGCGATCTGTGAAACTGTCGCCACTTTCGAGGCCTGCTGGGGGGCCCAGCACAGTGGGTACTCACGGCAGACTCAAATGGGACCTCGCCATCCATGGGGGGCTGCGATCTGTGAAACTGTCGCCACTTTCGAGGCCTGCTGGGGGGCCCAGCACAGTGACGCCGCACGCAGATTCAAATTAGACCTCGCCATCCCTGGGGGGCTGCGATCTGTGAAACTGTCGCCACTTTCGAGGCCTGCTGGGGGGCCCAGCACAGTGACGCCACGCGCGGACCCAAATTAGACCTCGCCATCCCTGGGGGGCTGCGATCTGTGAAACTGTCGCCACTTTCGGGGCCTGCTGGGGGGCCCAGCACAGTGACGCCACGTGCGGACCCAAATTAGACCTCGCCATCCCTGGGGGGCTGCGATCTGTGAAACTGTCGCCACTTTCGAGGCCTGCTGGGGGGCCCAGCACAGTGACGCCACGCGCAGACCCACATTAGGCCTCGCCATCCCTGGGGGGCTGCGATCTGAGATCCCCGCTTTCGACGCGGCTAGGGTTGTTCAGGGATTGTAACTAATCAGCTTTATCTAGTCCTTGTCCTGTAGCCAGTGTCCTGCGAGTCTCCCGACTTCCGTCTGCAGACATATGTAGCCCTCGCTCCGTCATTGCCCCCCTTATAAAGTGTCCTAAACTATTTGCGCCCCGCGTTTGCGCAGGGGTTGGGTACGTCGCCAGGGTATTTTGTCCGTATTTACTTGTGTGTCCTTGGGCCCTTCATCTATGTTTTGAAGTTTCGGGTATTGAACATAAGCGAAGTCTCCGAACATCCCACTTTGACGGTCGAACAGATGAATCCACATACGGATGTCCACTACCAAACGACTTGTGCTCAGTCCTTGAGTACGTTGCACACTTCTGAAACGAACGTGTACGACGCTTCGGCGAGAGTCACACTTCGAAAAAGAGGAGGAGGAGGAGGAGGAGGAGGAGGAGGAGGAGGAGGAGGAGGAGGAGGAGGAGGAGGAGGAGGAGGAGGAGGAGGAGGAGAGGAGGAGGAGGAGAGGAGGAGGAGGAAGGAGGAGGAGTAGGAGGAGGAGGAGGAGAGGAGGAGGAGGAGGAGGTAGGAGGAGGAGGAGGAAGGAGGAGGAGAGGAGGAGGAGGAGGAGGAGGAGGAGGAGGAGGGAGGAGGAGGAGGAGGAGAGGAGGAGGAAGGAGGCGGCGGCGGCGGCGGCGCGCGCGGCGGCGGCGGCGGCGGCGCGGAGGAGGAGGATGAGTGTGAGAGGAGGGGAGGTGGAGGTGAGGTGGATGAGGAGGAGGAGAGGAGGAGGAGGAGGAGGAGGATGGAGGAGGGAGGAGGAGGCGGCGGAGGAGGAGAGAGGAGGAGGAGGAGGGGAGGAGGAGGAGGAGGAGGATGGAGGAGGAGGAGGAGGGTGAGGGAGGAGGAGGAGGGAGGAGAGGAGGAGCAGGAGGAGGAGGAGGAGGAGGAGGAGGAGGAGGAGGAGGAGAAGAGAGCAGGGGGCGAGGAGGAGGAGGAGGAGGAGGAGGAGGAGGAGGAGGAGGAGGAGGAGGAGGAAGAGGAGGAGGAGGAGGAGGAGGAGGAGGAGGAGGAGAGGAGGAGGAGGAGGAGGAGGAGGAGGAGGAGGAGGAGGAGGAGGAGGAGGAGGAGGGAGGAGAGGAGGAGGAGGAAGGAGGAGGAGGAGAAGAGGAGGCCAAGGAGGAGGAACACGACAATCAAGTAGACGAAGACGAGGCTGACTACCGAGGGTGGGACCCCCTCCCCATCCATGGGTCCCAGGTCTTCCGTCCCCCGTTCATGTTTCCCCCTTCCTGCTTCCCTCCTCTATCTTCTTCTTGCGAGGATCGAGATCTTTTAGCTGTTTTTGTCCCTTCCGAACTCGGGGGGGCCTCCGGATAATCGTCTGGGAATGGACTTTTCGATACTTCTGGAGACATTCGGAGACTTCCAGTCACCCACTTCCCGTTTCTCGCTTTCCCCCCTTCTTTGCTTGCTTGTCCCCCTTTTTTCTTGTCACTTCATCGCGTCCCTTCCCACCCCCTTCTGCCCCTTTCCTCCCTTCTCCCCCTTTCCTCCCTTCTTCCTCTTGGCCCCCCCCCTCCCCCTCCCTCCTCTCGCTCCCCCGCCTCAGTCAGGTCAACGGCGACGTTTTCCGACGCCCAGATCACCTCGCGATCTTCACCACGCTCTACGCCACAG